CCCCAGCTCGCTGCCGTGCCCTCGGACCCGAGGGCGAGGTCAGAGCACAGAGGTCGGGAACATAAGGAAGAATCCCGCCATCGGTGTTATTTATTAACCGCTGGGGTGCAGTCGTAAAGAGGGTTTGCGTGGTCCGAGGAGAGGGGCTGTGTGAGGCCAGGTGATATTTCAGGGACATGGTCAGAGTGTCACTGGCCTCGGCTCATCCGTGGGCCTCAGTTCCGTCCCATATGTCAGTGCTGATCCGTAATGGACTTCAGCGCATAGTTATTTCAGAACGGCAAAATGTCTGTGTCAATGGTCCCTTTCTTCCTTCTCAGACACTGATTTTTATCCGAGTTCAGTGACAGGAGCCTGGAATTCCAACGCAGGATCAAGGACACTGGGGGGAGAGGTCTTTCCCCCACCCCCCGATCCTCTGGGTCTTAAACACGGGGGCGCTTGGTTCGCTCATTGCTGTGTTTCAAAAATAAAAAATAAAAATCTGTGAGCTAGGTGGCTGCTACCTCAGTTTACCCTCGGCCCCCGCATGGCCCGCCCAACCCCTGTCAGCGTTCGAACCTGTAGCCACCCTGGGGCACGTTGTGGAATCTATTTCCCACTTGGGCGAAGGTTCGCTTAGGTCTGCGGGTAGGTTTGCAATTTGGGAGGCCGGGTTCGGGCGGACCGGCGGCTACTCTTGGGGAACGTAAGTGTTGATCTTGTTGAACGTCACCAACATGGTGACGTGCATGTCAGATCCATGCGTGACGGGAAGTCAGGGCTCTTCAGCCTGGTCTGCCGTGTCTCCCCAGCTCACATCTCAGGTACAGAGGGGAAACACTGCTGCTCGTCACAGGCGTGTGTGGCTCACCTGTCAGTGTTGAAAAGGCCTTTCTTTCGTGGACAGTTCTGGCCTTCCTCAGACGGGCATTCTGGGGAGGGGTTTCCCGACGAGTCCACCACGCGCAGAGGACTTACGAGCTGAGACCCCCCCCACCACCCCTATTCCTTTCTCGGTTTCTAGCATTTGATCAAGTTTGAATCTGATTCATTGGTTGATTCATTCATTTATTCATTCACCTTACTGAGGTTTCTTTTTTCTGTTGCTGCTCTGACCTCCTGATATTCTGACCCGAGAACCCCCGAGACCCCAACTCCGACTGTTAAGGACGGTGAGGTCCAGGACCTGGAATCCTTTGCATTTTGACAATGTGCAAGGTTCGTTCCAAGGGAGGCTCAGCCCGCCAGGATGAGGAGGAGCCTGGTTTTATGTCATCCTGTTTGAGAAGGGGTGTGGTTGTCTCGCCCCTGAAACGTTTGCCCCTGCTGCCGTCGCACCCCGATTCTGAGCCCTCTCTTCTCGGTAGGACCTCCTCCGGGGGTTTCCGTGTTCTGTGAGAAAGTAGCTTTAAATTAAGGCTGACGAAGTCGGAGTAGAGAGTGGACGGTGAACACGAACGTCCCCTGCAGGGCTCAGATCCTGTCGGAATGAGCCCCAGGAGCCAGCGAGGTTCTGATTAGGCCCAGCGGCCCAAGGCAGCGGGAGGACACAGTGGGTCCCTTCACTCCAGAGGTTCACTCCGGCGTCAAGCAGGGTTGCTGGGTGTCTGCCTCCAGTGTGATTTGTCCCCCTCGGGGACACTCAGTGCTGGTCATTTCAGATTTATAGTCCAGCTGCCCTCGGATGGCCCTGTGGGTCCGCGGCCTGGGGCTGGGCCGGGCGGGAAGCCCCGTTCGGTTCTGGACAGAGATCCTTTCTCCCCTGAAGTTAAGAGCAGGCTTTGGGGAACTAGTAGGTCTCCTTGAAGCCCACGGTCACAGACTTTTGCCACATCTTTTCAGAACAATGAACTTGGGTTTTTAAAGGGTGAACTAACTGCTGTTTGAAAACAAGAGTGGGAAAAAAAATCCTTGAATAACTATCGTGTTTGAAAACTTGCAAAGAAGAATTTTTCTTTTCTTTTTTTATGTCAAGTTGGTATGTAAAGGATGAAATTTAGGCAAGCTTTTTGGGAGCTTGTGTATACCTAGGTATTTGTATTGAACTGGGATATTTATTTACTTGATTAAAAATGAAAGAAATGCATGTACCTGCCAAAGAAACTTCAGCATACAGGAAGATACGGTGAGAGCCAGAAGTATTTCTCTTCATGTGTGTTACCCTAGAAACCTTTAAATACAGATGGGATGCTTCGTGCAGACGGATCTGACTGGTTTGTTAATTTTAAACTTTGTAAGATTGTTAGCAGGTAAGATGGAGAACACTGAAAGTCAGGGTCATTGAATTAAACATAAATAAATAGGTTTAAAGATACTTGGCTGTCTAAAGCAAGAAGAAAGAAAGAAAATCATTACTAGATTAGCCTTTCTGGGGGGCTCGGTCGGACTGGAGAGCCAGGCCCCTGCACCCGGATGGGCAGAGGCGTCACTAACACAGGGTGCAGGCTCCCGTTCGTGAAGAACGTCTGCCCAGTGTAAGTTCAGGTACTGCCCGCAACAGGAACCCGATGAGGTCTCCGGGCACAGCACCAGGGATGTGCGAACCCAGCCTCGGGCATCACAGAAATGAGAAGGGTCTGCTTCAGGCCCCGCATGGCCGAGGCCTAAGGAGGGGGGAGGGAGAGGTAGAGGAGCAGGGCTGGAACCCGGGGTCAGAGCTTCAGTTGACCCCCACCCCTTCGGGGTAGCCCTTCAGCCGAGGCGATGCCTAGGGGTTCCAGGCTGCGAGCGGCTTCCTCGAGGCTTTTGCAGAGTCTCATGGTGAGAGGAGTCGGGACTCAGAGAGAACCCTGATAAAAGATTTCCTGGGAGCCCTGGCAGGTTTGGCTCAGCGGTTAGAGCGTCGGCCTGCGGTCCAGAGAGACCCAGGTTCGGTTCCCGCTAAGGGCACCTACCTCGGTTGCCGTTTGTCCCCGGCCCCGGTTGGGTCGTGTGGGTGGCGGCCACTCAATGTGTCCCTTTCACATCGATGTTTCTCTCTCTCTTTCCCCCTCTCTCCCTCCTGCCCTATCTGAAGATAAATGCAAAGATGTCTTCGGGTGAGGATAAAAAAAATAAAAAAGATTTCCTGGGAAAGCGACTCCTTGCCTACCACCCCTCAGTGGAAAAATGGCCCCCACGAAACGTCTGGGACGAGCCGCCAGCCACGGCGAGCGGTGCAGTACATCGCACTCCACGACCCGGCTGAAAGAGGGTGAACCGTCGGGCAGAACCGATGCCTCCCGAGCGCCCCTTTGCCGGCTCCCCCTCTCCTCGAGTCGGCGCTGCCCACACCCACCCCTGTTCTTTCCCTAAAGATTGTTTGTTATATGAACACTTACGTTTTTGAAATAAGTAATTTATTTATTACAAAAATTTTTTTCTTACTGATTTTAGAGAAGAAGGGAGAGAGAGAGAGAGATAGAAACACCGATGAGAGAAACATCTATTGTCCACCTCCTGCACGCCCCCCACTGGGGATCAGGCCCACAACCTGCGCATGTGCCCCGACCGGGAATCAAACCAGTGACCTCCTGGTGCCTGGGTCGACGCTCATCCACTGAGCTACACTGGCCGGGCAAAAAATATTATTTATTGACTGATTTGAGAGAGAAGAGAGAGAGAGAGAGGGAGAAACATCGATTTATTGTTCCACTTATTTCTGCATTTATTGGTTGATTCTTTTATGTGCTTTGACGGGTTCAAACCCACAACCTTGGTGTATCAGGACAGCGCTTTAATCCACTGAGCCACCCGGCCAGGGCCTAAAGATCGCTTCATAAGAAGAAAGGGGAAGGGGCACCTTTTCTTCTTTCTTTGGTCGGCAGCACGCCCTTGAGCTTGGGCCAGAATGAAATGGCCGCTGGTTTGGCATTAAACCCGGACGCCTCCTTATTGCTTCCTCTCGCTGCCGTTGCGTAAGTCTGGAGTTTTGAAACAGAACGGATTTCTTCTGCTACAGTCCTGTAGGCCAGAGGTCTGACGCGGTCTCAGCAGGGTGACCAGGGCGTCGGCAGGGTCGCGTTACTGCTGGAGGCCCCAGGGACAGTCTGCCCTTGTGTGTCCGGCTTCTAGAGGCTGCCCACGTTCCTGGACCCAGGTCCCTTCCTCCACCTTCAAAGGCAGCGATGCCACCCGTCTCTGAGCCGCCTCCTGTCTTCACAGTTGTCTCTGGCCACAGCCAGGAAAGTTGGCCCATTTCACGGCCCTCAGTCTTAATCTTATCTGCAAACTCCACTGTGCCATGGAAGGAAACGTAGTCACACGTTCCGGGGACTCGAACGTGGGCATCTTTGCCGGCTGTTATTCTGCCAACTCCACCTCCCATCAGCTTTCTAATGGCGACCCTGCCTCGGGGTGGCTGCCTGACAGACCGTGCCACCAGGAGCGCCAGGCCCGCCTCCAGGTCCCTGCCTGGCCTGGCCTCTGTCACTTCCCAGCAGCGACACCTCAGGCAGCTTCCGAGCCTGGGCTTCCTCCCCCGGGTGACTGTTCCCAGCCTCGGCAGGACTGACATTTGGGGGATGATTTCCTGTTGTGTTAGCAGCGTCCCAGGTCTCTACCAGCTGTGACAACCGTAGTGTCCCCAAACATTGAAATGTCCCATGGGGTACAGAACGGCCTGGTTGAGCACTGCCGTAAATACTCACCCGAGTTTCCGAGAGACTTAAACAAGAGCCCGGAGGTCAGGCCACCTGGTCCGGATCATTGTTCGGTCGGGCACAAATTCTTCCAGAAGTGATCTGCGGCTGTCCTGGTCCCTTTAGTCCTGCGGGGTTCTCTCTGCCAGGCTCTGGCTTTCAGCCTGCCTTGGGGCCAGGAAGAGAAGGTGAGTGGTCCCTGATAGGGGGCAGCTGTGGGTGGAGAGCCTCCCCCAGGCCCAGAGGAGCAGATGCCATCAGCACCGGGTTGGCACCGGCTCCCCCAGGGACACACTGACTGCGCTTCACCTGTCTGCTCCGTCTTCCACCTTTGTGTGCACTGGGTTGACCTGTGAACCAGGACCCTCAGCCGGGTGTCTGACCTTCTGTTCCATGCAGGTGGCCCTGGTACAGTGGACCGAAAGTGTGGGCTTAACCCTGGTGGGCCGAGACCAGTCTTCCATGCAGCTGAGGACCCCTGGCGACCAGATCTTGAACTTCACCATCTTGCAAATCTTCCCCTTCACCTACGAGAGCAAGCGGATGGGCATCATTGTGAGGGTGAGTCCCCCTGTATCTATGTCAGAATGGCTCAGAACCCCACATACGCCTGAACGTCCCTGTGGCTTAACATTCTTTTTACTCCTCACCCGAGGATATTGTTTTCCATTGATTTTTAGAGATTGGGAGGGGAGATAGAGAGAAACATCGATCAGCTGCCTCCCGCACCACCGATAGGATAGGTGTGTGCCCTTGACAGAGAATCAGACCTGCAACTCTTCACGCCTCGGTCAATGCGCTAACCACTGTGCACACTGCTCAGGGCTTGATATTCTTTCTTAACCCTTCGTAACCACCTTTATCATGTTTTCTGTTGCCCAAACTAACAGCGTCCTATAATAATTAGGCAGAAAGAAAATGAATTCGTCCACCAGACAGAACCCCCGATAGCCTCTCAGCTTCTGGTTCACCCAGTTCTAGAGCGAGAGGTCTGGGAATGTAGACTGGCACTTCGTGGTAAGCACACACTTCTCATTGTGTGCTCTTTTGTTGAATAAAATGTGTGTCTTTTAGTGAGGTGAAATTCACTCGACATAAATGAACCATTTTAAATGCACACGTCAGTGGCATTTAGTATATTCACAACGCTGTGTGCCCTTCTGTCAAGTTTCAGGACATTTTGATCACCCCTAAAGGAAACCTTGTGCCCATTCAGCCGCCACTCCCTCTACCTTCTTCTCCTTGTCCCTTGGCGGTCACCAGTCTACTTTCTGCCTCTGGATTTACCTATTCTGGATATTTCCTGTAAATGGAATCACACACTGTGTGGCCTTTTGTGTTTGGTTGCATTCACTTCTCATCACGTTTTCGAGGTTCATCCATATTTAACAGGTATCAGGACTTCATTCCTTTTCATGGCTGCATAATATTCCACATTGCTTATCCATTCATCCATTCATGGGCATTTGGGTTGTCTCCACCTTTTGGCTATTGTGAATAATGCTGCCATGAACATGCATGTACAATAATTTGAATACCTGTTTTCAGTTGTTTTGGGTTTATACCTAGGACTGGAATTGCTGGGTCCTGCTTGGTTAGTTACACCATTGCTGGATAATTCTCTCTTTTAGGTGTATGAGGAATGTCCAAACTCTTTCTGTAATGCTGCACAATTTACATTCCAGCCAGCAGTATATGAAGGTTCCAATTTTCCCACATCCTCATCAACATTTGTCATCTTCCATTTGTTAAATTTTAGCCATCTGGGTGGTTGTGAAGTGGCTTTTCATTGTGCTTTTGGTCTGTATTTCCCTAATGATGTTGAACATCTTCACGTGCTATTGGCCACTAGGATATCTTCCATGGAGAAATGTCCACTCACGTCCTTTGCCCACTTTTTAATTGGGTTGTCTTTTTGTTGTTGAGTTGTAAGAGTTCTTTATGTAGTCTGGTTACTAGAGCTCTCTCTGAGAGATGATACACAAATATTTTCTCTCATTGTGTAGGTTGGCATTTTACTTGATTGATCAAGTTCCTTTGATGCACAGAAGTTGCTCATTTGGATGAAGTCCAGCTTGTCTCTTTTCTTCTTTTATTGATCTTGACTGGGTGTCATATCTGAGTTCATTGCTAAATCCAAGTTCATGAATTTACTCCTATTATTTCCTTTTAAGAGTTTTGTAGGTTTTGCTTTTCAGGTCATTGATCCCCTTGGGGTCAATTTTTGTATATGCTGTGAGGTAGGGGTTCCTTTATGCAATCACAAAATTATTGAAAAAAAATATAGTGCTCACTCAGCATCATCATTTTGCCATATTTATTTCAAAATTTCTTTTTATATTTTTGAACTACAGCATACACAGAGAAAACCACAAACATCATAAGTGTATACACCTCGCCCTGGCCGGTTGGGCTCAGCGGTTTGAGCGTTGGCCTGCGGTACAGAGGCCTGGGTTCGGTTCCCGCTAAGGGCACGTACCTCGGTTGCAGTTTGTCCCCGGCCCTGGTTGGGTCGTGCGGGTGGCAACCACTCGATGTCTCCTTTTCTTGTCGATGTTTCTCTCCCCTCCTCACTCTATCTGAATAAAAAATGGAAAGATGTCCTCAGGTTAGGATAAAAAAAATAAGTGTATACACCTCAAGTGTATACAAAGGTGTAACACACCCATGTGACCAGCATACAGAGCAAGGAACAGAAGCCCACCCCCATCACCCTTGAGCTCCCTCACGCCCCGTTTCTGGCCATTACATCCCTCTCCCTCCAAGGATATAACCACTGTCCCCATTTCTGTCATCGATTCATTTCGTCTCTTGTTAAACTTCATGTAAAGGAAATTGTACGGTAGAGGCCCTTTGGTGTTTGAATTCATTTGCTCAGATTTTTGTTTCCAACATTCACCCATACTTTTGCATGGACTGTAGCTTGAACACTTTCTTAAAGAAGTAAAACGTGCGTTCAGTTGGCATGCCCCCTCTGCCCCTCCCGGATGTGCCTCCTACACCAAGTTTCTGGTCCTGAGGAATTTCCAAATACTCTTATCCGACACGTCTGAGTACCAATAATGTGTGTCATGGGGTCGCATATGTTTGTTCTCTATCTAAGTGGCATTGTGGTACATGTATCATTTTTCCACGTCCTGCTTTTTGTTTAACGTTGAGTAAACTTAATGCTGCACACGGACACCCACTTCATTCACCGTGGCTGCTGTTGGGTCTGCAGTGGGTGCCTGGACCTCTCTCCCTCCGGTCTGGTGCCGTTGTCTCTTCAGAGAGGCTACTTAGCTGCCACGGGCAAGAACTGTCCTTGGCATCTGCCCGAGGCTCCTTGGTACGGACGGACGCCAGGTTCCCCGCCGCGTTCGCAGAGGGCGAGGGCTGTGGACTGTATTCCCCTTTCGCCCCACCAGGGGTCCTCGGCTCGCTCTCCAGAGCGCGGCACTAACCTCAGTCCCGTGTGCTCGCGGGACAGTGTCAGACTTCCCCTGTTGCCTCTCTGAAGACTCTGGACGAACGTCTTGTTTCCCTGCTCGTTCTTTTACTCATGGAGACCCCACTTTCCATCCTGGGAAGCCTGGTAACCCTGGGTTCGTTGGCCACTTTGTCCTAAGACCTGGCTGGTGGTCAGAATTCCCGGGGAGCCGTCAGGGTGCAGGTGACGTGGCTCCATCCAGACCCGTCCTGGTACTGGGTGGTTCCCCGATACGCGTGCAGGTTCCGCACCCTGCCGAGCGTGGCTGTGGAAACTGCCTCGGGTCACGAGAACCTTTGATAAGAGTCTCCCCTCTTCTGGGTTTCTTTTCAGACCCGTGAGGATCTCCTCCGCCCTGTCTATTAGTCTTTGCTGCCTTAGGGATCCGCGTTTTAGATTCTAGCCTAGTAGTTAGTAATAGTAGTAGTTAGTAATAGTAGTAGTTAGTAATAGTAGTAATCAGTAGGAGCGGTGCCAGCAGCAATAGTGGGAACAGTGACAGTAACATTTCGACCGTGTTTGCCGTGCGCCTGGCGCTGTTGTGAGCGATTTGCAGAAACGAATTCACTAACTCTCCCCACAGCCCAGAGGTGGGTGCCGCTATGAGTGGCAGTGGACAGAGGAGGAACCGGAGGTGTGGAGAGGCTAACACGTCTCCCCAAGTCCGCATAGCTGGGAAAAGTGGGGGAGCTGGGATTTGACCCCCAGCTACCTGGCTCCCAGGTCAGCTCTTTCCCACCGGGACCGGGGGGTTTGGGTGTGATGGGAGGGGCGTCAGAAAGTTCCTGGAGCACCAGTAATGTTGGGGTGGGGTGTTGATTGTGTATCGTTGAGTGGCAGATTACCCCACGCTTCGTGGCTTAGAGCAACACTCGGCATTACCTCAGGGTTTCTGTGGGCCGGGAGTCGGAAGAGGCTTGGCTCCGGGTCCCTGGCTCCGGGTCTCGCGGGTGTGGTCCCGGGCGCTGGGGCTGCAGCCGTCCAAGGTTCAGCGGGGCAGGGTCCGCTCCAGGGGAAGTCAGTGCTGTTGGCAGGACTCAGCTCCCTGCGGTTGTTGGACCGAGGGCCTCCGTTCTGGACTGGTGTGGGCGGAGCCCACCCTCGTTCGTTGCCACGCAGCCCCGCGTGGGTCAGCTCCCGCGTCACTGGCTTCATCAGAGTGAGCTGCGAGAAGGGAGCGTGAGCTCACAGTCTCCGGTGACCGGACCTCTCCCATTACGGTCTCCTTGTCTCCGCCGTTAGAAGCAAGTCCCTGTGTCCAGCTCCTGACTCCATGGGAGTAGATCTCCCGAGGGTGCGGCCCCCAGGAGGTCGGGGTCCCTGGGAGCCCTGGGGGACAGAAACAGCTCCACGTGCTGCTGTCCTGAGGGTCCAGTGACAAGCAGCCCGAACGCACTCTGCGACGACACACGTCAGGGACTGTTACGGCCCCCATGCCAGGAGGTACTTCTAGACTCCACAGGGCGTTACGCTCGGCACCTCGGGGCCCGGGAGCGAGCTCGTCTTCCCACGCAGCCGCTGCCTTCCCCTGGTCCGCATCTGGCCCGCGGCTCCGTGTCGTCAGCGGACGGCTGACGTCAGGAGCACCCGTGGTCCTGGGAGCAGCAGCGTACATGGGGGGCTGGGGGGGCTGGGGGGACTGTCCTGGTAATTCGAGTCATATCTCCTATGGAATCACTTTAATTTTGTTCCAGCCATTCTTTGTTGAAGGTCGAGGGCCGTGGGCCCTGCTGAAGTCCGTCCAGGGCTGAGTCACCCCGGAATAGTCCCTGGTGTGAGCCGTCCTGGGACGAGTGGGCAGCAGGGCGCCCTGCCCTTCCTGAGCTGTGACGGACTCGCGTTCCCAGACGCACGTCGGGCTTCTTCGGACGTGGCCCTGCCCCCCCAGCCAGAGCAGGACCCGGCCCGGCAGTGCGGGGGACGGTGGGGGGCACGTGTAGCCTCTCACACCTGCACGCCCTCCCACGCAGGCTGTTAAAAGGAATCAGCACTCAGTTAAGACATTTGGAACAAATAAGTGTGTAAAGAAGATCAAAACTGTGTCTATTTTCCCACCGTAGACGGCCACGGTTACCTTTTCAGAGAAGGTCCCGTCAATTTTTTCTAAGCATACGAGGGTAAATATCTGTGAACATTTTTACAAAATTGGCGGTGAACTCACCCAAGGCTTTCGGAACTGCTCCTCTTCAGTGAACTCTGTGTGGTGGAAATGTTCTCGGTTTTTATTTATTAATTTTACCCTCACCTGAGGACATTTTTGCATTTATCTTCAGATAGAGCGGGAGGGAGAGAGAGAGAGAAACATTGACGTGAGAGACACATCAAATGGCTGCCACTCACATGACCCCCACCGGGGCCAGGGACAAACTGCAACCGAGGTACGTGCCCTTAGCGGGAACTGAACCCGGGTCTCTCCTGTCTATGGGCCGACACTCTAACCGCTGAACCAAACTGGCCAGGGCTCAATCTTTTATTTATTTATTTTCATCCTCACCTAGGATATTTTTCTATTTATCTTCAGGTAGAGGGAGAGAGAGAGACACATCGACTGGTTGCCTCCTGCGCGACCCCGACCAGGGCTGGGGATGGACCGCAACTGAGGTACGTGCCCTTGGCTGGATTCAGACCCGGGACTCACTGGGCTGTGGGCTGATGTTCCAACCACTGAGCCAAACTGGCCAGGGCGTGCTCTCGACTTTTTAATTGATTTTAATGTGTGCGTGGTGTTTTGTTGGGAAAAATGTACCGTTATTTAATTGAATGCACATATATTTGGATGCTCAGGTTGGATTTCATTCCTCACTGCTAGATGGGAGTGGCCATCTTCGCTAGGCTGTCCTGATGAAATGCATATTATTTTGCTAGTTTCTCTTGGTTCCTGACCTGTCTTCCTCTTCACCTTTGCTCTTGGTGGGTGGAAACCAGTGTCTGGGGCGTTGGAACCACTTTTGCGTTTTGCAGGGATCTCGACCTGCCGCTCTCATGCAGTGGCTCATCATGGGGCCACCTCGCCCCAGGGTGACGCTGGAAGTACCTGGAGACGTTGTTTGGTTGTCACGGCTCTGAGGGCGGTGCTACTGGCATCTAGGGGGTAGAGGCCAGGACAGCCTCCCAAAGTGTCCGCCACCTGCGCTCATTGCGTTGGGGCCGAGAACTCAGTTCTCACACGTCCGTATATCCTGTGTGTTGTTTGACAATAACCGCACGTTACCTGTCGTGGGGGCGTTTTAGCTCAGTGATACGGGCTCTCGGTTTGTTTAGTGACTGCTGACAGTTAGGGTTTGGGTCTGGCCTGCGTCGTCAACCCTCTTAAACACGCACAGGTTCATGGGCGGGACGTGGCAGTACCTTCTTGCTCTCACAAGGCGAGGTCAGGTGTCAGCATGAGCCCCTCTTCGCGGAAGGTCGGTACAGCTTAGAGAAGCCGGCTTCCTCGGGGCTCGTGTCCTTCTGAGGGAGGCGGTGACACGCACAAGACGTTCCCCGGCCCCCGCCACGCAGAGCGAGGCGGTCGGGTTGTCGGTGTAGATCATCCCCTTGTCATTGTTTGAACAGAAGAGGCCTTTGAACAGGTGCCCGGACCAGACCCCAGTGGAAAAAGTCCCCGAACAATGCCGCGCCACCAGCAGCTCTCTGTAAATTCATAGCGTCATCTTGCCCTAACATGGGAACGAAGTAACCTCGTGATGAACTCGGTGGGAGGAAATGACTAACGGGAGGAGACAGTCAGCACGGTATTTATGTTGGACGAGGTGTCTAAAGCTCTCTGGTCCCTCTGGAGTAGAGGAAGCTGGGGAGGGGGACCCTGCTGCCCACAGCGAGGTTGCTCAGCACCATCTGGGGGAAGGGGACAGGACAAAACCGGCCTCCGCTGCTTTCGTGTCCAGACCCACCGCTGTCCAGACCCGCCGCTGTCCGGGGCCTGAGTGGCCAGCAGGCACGGGTGCGACCTGGCAGACACAAAGCACTCGGCCCACGCGCTCTGAGCACAGGTGCCTGTGCATGGCTGGCGGCTGCTTTTATGAGAAGCACGTTGTCTGAAGGGTGGTCAGTGACCAGAGGGCATCGGGAAGCTCTGTGAAAGGGGAGGCTGCAGCAGGGATCGCTGCGTGCCTGTTTTAGATGAAGAGCTCCCGGGCACGCGTTCTGGGCTCCCCGGGGGGTAAGATGCAGGCCGGGGTGTCGATGGCCATGCTGGGTTCCCTTGTCCATCTCACCGCCTCCAGCCTCCCCGTGATGGGCATCATTGAAAAAATAGTCATCGCTGGGGCCGGAACCAGGGATTTTCCCATCATCCCTCGAAGCCGGGATTGCTCAGCCTTGGCGCTCTGGGCGTTTGAGGCTGGGTGATCCTTGGTTGTGAGTCTGTCCTGTGCACGGTAGCATGTTCAGCAGGACCCCTGGTCTCTGCCCACTCGATGCCAGCACCCCTTCCCCCAGCTGGGGCAACCAGAAATGTATCTAGACATTGCCGCACGTCTCCTGGGGGGTGGGGGGGTGATGCCTCCCTTGAGAACCTCTGGCCAGTAAGCCTTGCTCTCGCCGACAGTATGACTGAGGGGCTTGTGGAGTTACTGTCACTCAAGCAGTGGTGGGTGAACCGAGGGGCATTTTCTGGGTATGCGGCTCCCGGCTTCGTGCTCTGTGGAGATGACCTCGTTTAGGCCACAACAATCTATGCACGTGAGAGTTGTTAGTGACCCTGTTTACGGATGGGGACACTGAGGTTTCGAGAAAAGAAGTAGCTTGTTCAGTGGGGGATCAGCTGGGCTGGTGCCAGGTTCGAGCATGTGATGCCCGGGCAGTGTGTCACCTGCTCCCCAGAAAATCTCAGTCGAACTGCAAATCTCTAGCTAAGTCTCAGGGACATGAAGGGGTTTGGAATGATCTAGATCAGTGGTTTTCAAGTGAGCTTTTGCTTCCCAGGGAACATGCGTTAAATCTGGAGACATTTTTTTCGTCCCCTGGGGGTGCTGCTGACCGGCTGGTGGGCGGGGGGCGAGGGTGCTGCAGGAGGCCTGCCGTGCACAGGCCGGGCCCCACCGCACAGCTGTCCGGCCGAGGGTGCAGTGCCAGGCCCTGACATAGGTGACTGTCTTCCCATGCGGGTGGACCAACCTCTCGTGTACAAACGTACAGTCATCTTACAGCGTGGGAGTCGTTCCTGTTGGAATGGTAGTAACTTCACAAAGCAAAACACAAAACAAAGTCCTTAAATCCTTTTGATCCTGCTTCTATCATTGAATGATTTTTCAAAAGCTTTGAGTTTTCTTCTGTTTTCTGTGGCCTTTGCCCCAAAGCGAGGCCCCCCCCTCCCCCCGGCTTTTTATCTCTGGCCAAGTGAGGAAAACACTGGCGTCTGCTGAGTAGGCTTTGTCCGCCGTCCGTCACGGGAAGCGGGACGGGAGCCCGGCGGGGGTTCCTCTCGGTGACTGGCCTTCCGGCCCTCTCCAGGATGAGTCGACGGGGGAAATCACCTTCTACATTAAGGGCGCGGACGTCGTCATGGCTGGCATCGTTCAGTACAACGACTGGCTGGAGGAGGAGGTGAGCATGACTGGGGCTGAGGACCGGCCAGGATGCACCTGGAGGTCCTCCCTGGCACGGTGTAGAGGTGGGTCTCTGCATCCCTTATCCTTGGCTGCGTAGCACGTCACCCCAGAATTCTGCAGCTCCCTTCACATAACACAGTGATTTCTCGTTGTTTCTGTGGGTCAAGGATCCTCCACCCAGGGTCTCTCCCAGGCTGCAGTCAAGGGGTCGGCTGGGCTGGGGTCTCATCTGAAGCCTCAGCCAGGGCAGGACCCATGTCCAAACGTGCTCAGTGGTCATGGGTGGGATGCGGCTCCTTGGTGGCTGTTGGCTGGACGCTGACACCTTCCTTGCCACGTGGACCTGTCCATAGGACAGCCTACAATATGGCAGCTAGCCTGGTCCGAGTGGGCAAGTGAGGGAGCAGGACAGGGCAAGAGACAGACGTCACCTCTCCTCGGAAGTGACCGCCCCTTACTTTCGCCACAGTCTCTGTGGGGAACAAGTCACTCGCTCCAGCGCAGTCACGGGAGGCGGTTATGCAGGGGTGCGGACACCAGGGGGTGAGGCCATTGGGGCACGTCCCGGGCTGCCTGTCCCAGGTTGTGACATGGGGACCCGCAGGGACGGAGGGGCTGTGGGGCTCGTCAGGGCTCGGCTTCCTCCCCTCGGCTCCAGGCGGGGGACTCGCCTGCTCCGTTCAGCGACACTGTATCTTCAGGTAGTTTGCAAACGCAAGTGCCGACAGGTGACTCGAGCGAGCGGAGCCGGCGGGGACGTGTCTCCCTGACGGGGCGACGCTCCGTGTGTTAAAGGCTCTGGCGGAGTCTCAGCTCGACACCTGTTTCCCGGCAGCACGTGCCAGGTGGCCACGTGTCACCACCGACTGCAGTGATTAGGGAAGCCATGCCCGGCGTGGTCGGAGGGCCAGCGTGTCTCACATGTCAGGACTGCAGACTTGTCTGTGGGCGGAGACAGTGCCGACCTGCGTTTCCAGTCGGTGCAGAAAGCGAGGGCAGGCCAGTGGCTGGGGGCTGTCGCAACGCTACCCCTCCTCCCACGGGAGGCTTACTCGGGGAAAGCAGGGTGCTTTGGCCATTTCACTGTCCCCTCAGCGTCCAGCCCTCCGGCGCCAGAGTCGGGGACTGGGCAGGGCCCTGAGCACGGCCCCGCTGACCACCCTCTGCCTTTCAGTGCGGGAACATGGCCCGAGAGGGGCTGCGGGTGCTCGTGGTGGCAAAGAAGTCCCTCGCAGAGGAGCAGTACCAGGACTTCGAAGTAAGTGGTTCTGAGGCCTTGTTGCTATTTCTTCAGCCCTGCCCACCTCCCCAGCCTTCTCTCTCCCAGCCCCCCCCTCTGCCCTGGCCATCCCGGGTCATCTGTGAGCACAGTCAGGTTCCCTCTTGTCCCGGGGCCCCTCCCTCGCTTCCTCGGCGCTCAGCTCAAACAAACAAACCCACGCCGCCTCCTCTGAGCAGCCTTCCTGGACTCGCCACCTAAGGCAGCCCTGACTCATCACTCTCCACCCATCCCCCCGTTTAACTTTCTTCGTTGCTCTTATCAACAGCTGTAGTGACCTCGTTTATGTATCTGTATTTTCATAGTCTCGGTCTCTCCTTTCTGAAATAAAATCATTTTGGGAGCACGTGGTCAGTCTGCTTGGCTCTTGGGTCCCCAGCATTTAGGATGGTCATTGGCACAGGGTGTCCCCCCTGGAAAATGAGGACTGAAGCACCCTCTTGAGACCCTAATATTTGTAATATTTGTAAAAAAATGTTAGTGTTGAACTAGACCATTGACTTTCATGGCCAAGGTTCCAGCATAAGTAGGTCATGTTGCCCCACAGATTGTGTGCCCCTTGAAGGGAAGCGTCCTCATTGTGTCCCCAGGCCTGGCACACCGCCAAGTGCACACACGCGTGCGTGACAGGCAGGGGGAGGGGAGGTTGGGGGTGGGCCCTGGGGCCCTTGTCCTGTTCCACGCAGAGAGGCTGTGCTCGTCTGTCGTTTTTATGTTTGAGTTCTTCGTAAAGTTTTAATGAACACGGGTTCCAGCCCTGATCAGTTCTACCTTCCTTTCCATTTTATTTGATTATTATTTTTTCTTTATTGATTTTAGAGAGAGAGGAAGGGAAAGGGAGAGAGAGAGAGAGAAACATCAGTGAGAGAGAACATCGATTGGCCGCCTCCTGCATGCCCCCCGCTGGGGATTCTGACCACAATCTGGAGTTGAACCTGCGACCTCTTTCTTAGTGCATGGGTGGACGCTCAACCACCGAGCCACACCGGCCGGGCCCTTCCTTTCCATTTTTAAGGCATCAGTTTTGAGTCGGTCCATGAAGAGGTTTTGATTTTTTTCTAGGTCTTTGTCAACACTGTACAGAGGGGATACACAGAAGGGCTGGGTTGAAGGTCTTTGGAAGTGGGACTTGGTCAAGGAGTATTGGTTACGAAGTGTGTGTTTTGTGCCAATTCTTGCAACATCCCAGTGAGGTTGGGGCTGTTATTGCTGCTTCATGAATGAAAACAGTAGAGGCTCAGAGAAGTTGAGCAACTGGCTGGAAGTTGCACAGCAGGTGAGTGGAGAGCCAAGGGTGGAAGTCAGGACTGTCCAGCTCCAGGGTCTGGACTGGTCACCTGGAAGGGGACCGGAAGCCTCGGTTCCATCGCTTTGAGGTCTGCACCCCGTGCTGTGGTGGGATCAGGCAGGCCCGGTCCACTCTCGGCGACGGACAGCCTTGCACGGCCCCGGCCTCGGCGGTGACTGTGCCCCCTGCTGTGTCCCAGGCTCGCTATGTCCAGGCCAAGCTGAGCGTGCACGACCGCTCTCTCAAAGTGGCCACGGTGATCGAGAGCCTGGAGATGGAGATGGAGCTGCTGTGCCTGACCGGGGTGGAGGACCAGCTCCAGGCGGACGTGAGGCCCACCCTGGAGACCCTGCGGAACGCCGGCATCAAGGTAGGGCGAGCCTGCTTGCGAGCCGGCTGCTGCAATAACCGCCCTCCGGGGAAGGGGGCCCCAGAATGAGGCCAGCTGTGCCTTGAGCAGAGTGTAGAAATGAAAGGCGGGAGCGAGGTGGACGTTGTGACAGGAGGAACCAAGCCTCTGGGACCTCTAGGCCTGTCTCAGACAGTGGGCCACCGTCATCACTTCCTGCCCTGACAGCCCTGGTCCTGGGAGACCGCTGTGTCTTCGCTTTCCTGGCTGTCCTCTCTGCCTGTGCGGGGCTCCGGGAAGGCAGGACCGCGTGCATCGACCTTAACCCTCAGAACCAAGTGTGTGCACTGTATTCGTGCTGAGTGACCAGCCAGCTGGCCGCCTGCCTGTTGGTCTGGGTGAACAGGGGACCACCCAACAGAGTGACCACCCGCCCCAACAAGCCGCCGGGTTTACATTTTGTATTCTATCTGGGGCCCCCAACGTATCTCCAGCAGTTGAACCGAGGGAGGCCAGTAGAGGGCGCCTGAGGAGCAGGCTGCATCTCCCTGGACCCCAGCAAGGGGCCCGCAAAGGCTGCGGCTCAAAGCTCCTGAGAAGGCGCATGTGTTTGCCACCTGCCTCGGCCCAAAGGCGGCTGCGGGCTGCGGGCTGCGGGCTGCGGGCTGCGTCCTCGGGCCTGCGTTCGGCAAAAGCGCGTGTGAGCGGGGTTGGGGGCTTGTGGATTAGACCTGCAGGGAGGGAGCTCTGGGCACGTGCCTGCCACGAGGGGCTCACATGCGTGGGCACGGATGGTGGTGAACCAGACGCCCTCCCGTGCCTCTGGCTCACCGGAAGTTGCGGGTGAGATCCCATTTTTGGAAAGATCGGCCTGATGTCCGAGGCCCCTTCCTGCTGCGCTGTGGTGTGTAAGCCCTGCCACGGGGCCACTTCTAGGTCCTCTCCCGGGGCTTTGAAGGTCCTCGTTTCTGCTGCTGGCTTCACCCTGGGGTGTTGTTTCTCCTTCTCAAAACCATTCTCTCCCAGCGAGGAGATGTGTCTTCCCAGAGTGTGCCCCGGCTTCTCCTGGTTTCCCTTGTTAGATGGGGGGGGGCAGGTAGTTTGTAAGTCGGGTCGGAGTCCTGGCCCCTCAGGAACCGGAAGGAGGTCGAACTGGACGAGTGTCTCTCTCACTTCAGCCCCTTGCTCAGACGTGGGGACTGAGGCCAAGCAAGGAGGGAAGTGTGGAGCCGGCCAGGAGCTCTCGTCCGGGCTCCTGCGACCTTCGCCCGGGTTTTCCAGAACTTGAGTCCCCCAGCTCCTTTCCCGGTGCCTGCGCCTAGAGCAGACCCCGAAAACCACCACCAAACCAGGGTCCTGGAAACCAGTGTCGTTTTTGAGGCCAGATGGGACGTGGAGGGAAAAGGCTGACAGACACCAGGGTCAAACCCCGAGGCAGGGGCCCCCTGGGAGGGCGTGGTGCCCTCGCCCTGGCCACCTCGCTGCCTGGGTTCCGGTCCCTCTCCATCGACAGCTTCGGGGCCCCTTGGCAAGTGACTGGACCTCTCGGGGCCTCTGTTTCTTGCCTCGTCAGACCGTGAAGGTAAAAGGAACCAAACGTGGGCAGCATGTGGGGGTGCCTGCCACAGTGGCCACCCTGGACGCCTGCGTTGCTATGTTCTGTCCTGTGCGTCCCCCCGGCCCGCACTTCTGTGGTGACGGTGGCCTCCTGCTGGGAGCAGGGAGAACAGGGTTAGTGGTGAAACCGCCGACGGAGCACAGAGCACGGTCCGTTTGCACTCCGAGCACCCGGTTCTGTCGGGTTGGGACTGGACCCAGCTGCGTGGCTCCGGGCAGGTCGCCTCCCTGACCCCACAGCCGTGAACGAACCTGGCTCCGTTCCCACCCGCGTTTTATCAGTGAGGGCTGACCCAGCGAGACCCCTCACGGCCTCCGGCCGGGTAGAAAGACCATGTGTAACGGGGCCAGTCAGCGCGGGAGACACGGACATGACCCCTCGTCCCTGCAGGCTCCCCTTTCTCAGAGATCGGTTGTCGCTTTAAGAAAAATCCCCAGGAAGGGGGGTCAGGAGGTCAGAGGCCGAGCTTCCCAATGGCCACTGAAGAACGTGGCCCAGCGGTTCTCTGGACGTGTCCCTTTGCGTTTGCTGCCACCTGGAGGGGCCACTCAGCGTCCTGATCCCTTGGGCTGGGCGTGCCCTGTGGGGTGGGGGTCACCGCGAGCCCCAAGGAGGCAAATGGGACGTAGCCGCTCAGCCCATGTTTCTGGAAACCGGCCTGACGCAGGCCACCTGCAGCACTAACCGGGGGACCCTCCTGTGCCCCGATGCCAGGTGTGGATGCTGACGGGGGACAAGCTGGAGACAGCCACCTGCACTGCGAAGAACGCGCACCTGGTGACCCGGAACCAGGACGTCCACGTGTTTCGGCTGGTAAAGCGTCCTCTGTGTCGGGGCCTCACGGGGGTGGCTGCAGTGCGCCCCGGAACCTCGTGAGCCCCGGGCGGTGCACGTTACCTCCCTGGGTGGGGGCTTCCACGTCAGCGTGGGGGGCTGCTGCGACCCAGGCGAGGCAAAGGGTTCCTCCTGGCGTGAGGTCCCGGAGCGCCGCGTGCCGGCCCCGACTCACGTTGTGTCCTCAACCTGGCGGGGGTCGTGGCCCCTTCGAGAAGCTGGTGCAGGTCAGGTGCGGCCAGCGTGGGGGTGCAGGTGAGCTCATGAAATTGTACCTACAAGTCCAGGAGCTCCCTGAACCCTTGGCCGTCAAGTCCTTGGATGAGAAATGAATCCGGACCACAGACATTGGCCTGTCTGCCCCCCTGTAGGAGCCCCCGAGGGCCTTAGAAGGGGTGTGTTGAGCCCGCGCAGGAGAATGCCCCGCCCTGGGGCAAGCACTTCCCCAGAGCAGTGCCGGCATTAGGAGCTCCCCGGGGCTGGACCCCGGGGCTGGACCCCAAGGCCCGGACTGGCCTTACTGAGTTGGGAGGTGAGCACTGGGTCCCTCTGGGGCAGGATGTCCCACATCTAACATCAGAGCCACCATGTCAAACAACTTCAGGGGCTCTAGATGTTTTGGGGGGTCTCCCCTCGCCCCGGCCTTTGGTCCACAGCACATAGAAGCTTCCAGAAATCCAGCTGTTTGGAAAACAGCACCAACAGCCTTGTTCAGAGGCAGATTCGGTCGATCCTCACTGTTCGGTCTGTACAAATGCGCCTGCTCATTAAACTTGACCTGCAGCCCGAAAATCGACACTCACGGTGCTGCTGTCAGCGTCCTGTGTGGACAGGTGCAGGCGGCGCGGAGTCCGAGTCAGCAGCTGGGGTGGCGCAAGGACACGCTCCGCCGTCTCGTTGCAGCTCCTATGCTGCGCACACGGGCCCTTTGCACGGTCTGTTTGTGCCATCTGTCTGCATTTTTGTGCTTGTTGTTGGCAATTTGTCTGTTTCAAGTGGCCCCCAGCACAGTGATGAGGGGCTGGCTACTGCTCCCAAGCACAGGAGGGCTGTGATGCGCCTTACGGAGAAAATACGTGGGTTAGATGAGCTTCTAGGCGTGAGTTCACAGCTATCGGCCATGCGGTCAGTGTTAATGAGTCAACACATGTGCGTTTTAGAAGCTGTCCCCAGGCAGAAACACACACAACACAAAGCTGTGTATTGCTCGATGGACAAAACTACTGTGAGCAGAGGCAGGGACCTAGCCCTGTGTTTCCCCGGGCGCAGGGGTCCCGTGTTTGCTGATGCAGCACTCAGCACGACCGTACAGAACCTCACTGTCACGGACCACGAGAACCGACTGTACGTCCGAGGTCTCGGGTTGTGAACGCCAGCTCTTGTGCCGGCCCCTGTTTTGGTCAGTTCAGTTTTATTTAAACACAGACACACCTATTGGTTTACATAACTGTCTGAGGCTGCTTTGTGGTCCGCGGAGCCTGAGTCTCCGGCCTCCCCCGCGGCCCTCGAGCCCTGTCGCTCTAGACTGACAGCCCCGCCCTGCTTCAGCTTCCTCACGCGGGGAGAAGAGCCCTTATGGTTCACCCCGTGGCGTCCGTGGGAAAAATACACGGGGCATCCGTGCAGAGCGCAGAGCGCTGAGCCCTGAAGGGAAGCGCGGTCATTTTGAGCTCTGGTTTGGATCACGTGGGCCACGGCCGTCCTGGGGAAGTGCCAGGTGAGGCCGGTTTGCCGACTCTCTGGATTCCCGGAGTCATCACAAACAGGATTTGGTTTGGCTCTGGGTCTGGTGGCAGAGGAGGGGCAGGGGTCCTTGGCCCGGGTGGCCATTGTCTTCAGCCGGCTCCAGGAAGCCACTGTTGTTGTGCGGCCTCCGCGGAGAAGGCCTGCTCACCCTCCCCGTTCCCTTGCAGGTGACCAACCGCGGGGAGGCCCACCTGGAGCTGAACGCCTTCCGCAGGAAGCACGACTGCGCCCTGGTCATCTCTGGAGACTCCCTGGAGGTGGGACCCCGGGCCCCTTCCTGCGGCCGTTGGGGGGGGTGGCCTTGGCTGACCCCCCCGTCCCTCCCTCCACAGATTTGCCTCAAGTACTACGAGTACGAGTTCATGGAGCTGGCCTGCCAGTGCCCGGCCGTGGTCTGCTGCCGCTGCGCGCCCACCCAGAAGGCCCAGATCGTGCGCCTGCTGCAGGAGCGCACGGGCAAGCTCACCTGTGCCGTAGGTAGGCCGACGCCCGGGCCCGCGGGGCCGCTGCTCTGCCCCTCCCAGGTCGCTCTGCTGGGCCGTGGGCTTCCCGCCGCGGGCTTGGCTCTGGGTTTGCTGTAATTCTCAGCTTTACTGTTTCCCTTTGAAAACGCGGAGATAAGCGTGCAGGGGTTTCTCCCCTGCGCTTGTGCTTTCTCCCCGGCGGGCGACGGGTGCAGATGCCAGAGGGAGAGGGCCACGCCGGGGCGCCGGTCCCCCTGGTTTTCCCTGGCTGGTGCCCGAGCCTCGTCCCCCGGAGGACTGGGAGGACGGCAGTGCTTCCCTCCAGTGGTGCCCGAGGGCAAACGGGGCAGCTCTTATCTACTTATTTTGATCCCCACCCAAGGACATTTTTTGCATTTACCTTCAGATAGAGCGGGAGGGAGAGAAGGGGAAAGAGAGAGAGAGAAACATTGATGTGAGAGAGAGTGGCTGCCACCCACACGACCCCATCCGGGGCCGGGGACAAACCGCAACCGAGGTATGTGCCCCTAGCCGGACCCGAACCCAGGACTCTCTGGTCCGCGGGCTGTGGCTCTAACCGCTGAGCCAAACCGACCAGGGCTAAATGGGGGTAGCTTCCGTCACTGCTGATCAGTAATGACACAGGCAGGGCGGGTGGCGCGGACACGGTCCCCCTGCTGCTGCTGCATGGCCGGAGCCCTCGCCAGCCACCTGGTGGCTCTGCCTCTGTGCTCACCGCGCGTGAAGCAGGAGCCCGATGCCGCGGGGTGCTGGTGTGGTTCATACGTGGGGGGAAGCAGATGCCGCGGGGTGCTGGTGTAGTTAGTAAGTGGAGGGGAGCAGATGCCGCGGGGTGCTGGTGTGGTTCATACGTGGGGGGGAGCAGATGCCGCGGGGTGCTGGTGTGGTTCATACGTGGGGGGAAGCAGATGCCGCGGGGTGCTGGTGTAGTTAGTAAGTGGAGGGGAGCAGATGCCGCGGGGTGCTGGTGTGGTTCATACGTGGGGGGGAGCAGATGCCATGGGGTGCTGGTGTGGTTCATACGTCGGCGGGCAGAAAGGGCAATTAGCAAGCACTCAGAGGCAAATCTGGGATGATTGTTGAAAGTAACCCAGTTTCTGGCCCCTCCCCGATTTCCTGGCTTTTCTGTCTGTGTGACCCGCAGGAGACGGAGGCAACGATGTCAGTATGATCCAGGAATCTGACTGCGGCGTGGGCGTGGAGGGGAAGGTGAGCAGGAGCGGGGGGCAGGGGCGTGGAGGGGAAGGTGAGCAGGAGCTGGGGCGGGGGCAGGGGCGTGGAGGGGAAGGTGAGCAGGAGCTGGGGCGGGGCCGGGGGCTGCTCTGCCTCGGAGCTGGAGCTTCTTTGGAAACACCCTGTAGAAAGTGTGCGAGAATTCGTACCCTCCAAGGAACCGTGCATCCTGGTTCCCTAACCTCACCTGGGAGTCAGAATCCCTATCGCTGCGTCTTACAAATGCTGAAACCTACATTTCAAAAAAAAAGTGTTTTTCCCCTGGCCGGTTTGGCTCAGCGGTTGGGGCGTAGGCCTGCGGTCCAGAGAGACCTGGGTTCGGTTCCCGCTAAGGGCACGTACCTCGGTTGCAATTCATCTCCGGCCCTGGTTGGGTCGGTTGCAGTTTGTCCCCGGCCCTGGTTGGGTTGTGCGGGTGGCAGCCACTCGATGTGTCCCTTTCATGTCGATGTTTCTCCCTCTCTCTTTTCCTCTCTCTCTCTCCCACTCTATCTGAACAAAAAAATGGAAAAAATGTCCAAAAAAAAATTTAAAAAAAAAAAGGGGGTTTTCTTTGCCATCGTCTCTGGGTACCATGAATGCACGGCTGACGGTGCCTCGGGGCGGCGCTGTCCGGAGCAGCACGAGCTGTCGGCTGGGTGCTGGTCTCGTGGGTCGTGGCAGGATGTGCGCCGTCGGCCCCTGGCTGAAAGGCCCGGGCAGGTGCACTTATTTCACGTGTGGTCACGACAGTTGTTCTGCTTCCTTCCTCGCCGGCTGTGCGCGTGCCTCCAGCAGGGGACTCGGCCCGCTGCACTCTGGGTCCTCTCAGGGACCCGGCTTTGTCAGAGCTGGGTGCAAAGCGGGAGCACAGAGGCCCGAGCAAGGCCCAGAGGGCTCCCTGGTCGCTGTGGCCATCTCGTCATGAACACGGCTGATCATAGCCCCGCTTCTGTCTGTCCTTTCCACCCCTCCTGGTTTGGGGGTTCTCGTGCAAGTTGACGATTACTTGAAGTTGCAGAGTGAAATGACCTTGGAGTGAGATGTTATGTCTGAACTCTGTACAGACTCCTTTAGTTTGGGTTTTAGGAAGCACCCTTGAGTTTAATAGGCAGGATTCTTTACACGTGTCTGTGTAGAACTAAAACATTTCCCGATAATGTTTCACTTGGTTTTTTGAGTATTAAAGGAAGAGGTGCCCGCTGTAAAAAAAATGAGAACAGTTTAGAACTGGATCAAGTGTCTTTTAGATAGCTCATCTAACTGGTAACTTGGTTTATTCTTCAGAATTTTTGTCTATGGACATTACTGGTTATGAGTATGTATGTACATATATATTGTGTACACACACATATGTACACACATATACATACACACGTCCTATATGTGTATATGTATTGTTTTCGTGTATACTTTAAAATTAGAAACATGTTGCATTTTTAATGCAACTTGCTGAAATCTGTTATATCTTCAATTTCTTTCTACATCAGAATATGTAGGTCCATCATTTTTTTTTTTTTTTTTTTATCCTCACCAGAGGATATTTTTCCATTTTTTGTACAGATAGAGTGGGAGGGAGAGAGAGAGAGAAACATCGACGTGAAGGGACACATCGAGTGGCTGCCACCCGCACGACCAACCAGGGCCGGGGACAAACTGCAACCGAAGTACGTGCCCTTAGCGGGAACCGAACCCGGGTCTCTCCAGACCGCAGGCCGAAGCTCTAACCGCTGAGCCAAACTGGCCAGGGCAGGTCCATCATTTTTTACCCTCAAAACTTTTTATTTTGAAAATGTCCCTCCTTCAGAAAGTTGAACTAGAACAATGAGCCACTTACCTGTCTACCTTCACCTCAGTTGGCCGATGGTTAACCTTTGCCTCATTCTCTGTATTTCCTTCCCCACCCCTGAATCAGCTGAAAGTCAGTTGCAGATAGAATGCGTTACCCCTAAATACTTTCGCATGGACCTCTTACATAAAAGGACATTCTACGTATGCAAAGTAGCATGATCCCAGCCCCCCAAAAGCCACATTGATTCATATTATATAATTTTCAGAGTTCAGTTTCCCCCGTTGTCCCCGAAATGATTAATGAAACATCTCCAGGGACCAGTGAGTGATCACACATGGCATTTATTAGCATGTGTTCGTGTCTCTTTAATCTTCTTCAGTGTAGAATGCTTTCTCCATCTTTTTTGGGGGGGAGGGTGTTTTTCACGACATTGGTATTTTTAAAGCATTCGGGAGAGTTGGTGAGTGTCCCGCAGTACCTGTGGGTAAGGTTGATCTGGTCCGCAGTCTGTGTGTTTGGTGTGAGTAGCCCCTAAGGGGGATTTGTACCTCTTGCATCAAGTCAGTCCGTCTGTCCCGTGACTGGCATCCATCATGCACTTTTTAAAATCATCGAAGTCCATTACTTCTGCACTGTGAATTACTTTCCATAAACGTGCAAAGCCGCCGTGTATGTTCAGGAATGTTCCATTTAATATTGTTGGTAGCGTCTGACCCACCCACCTGGCTCTCCATGCTCGTCAGCGAACCCGGCCTTACGAAGCGCCCGTCTTTCAATGATTGCTTCTGATGCACGTGGCGGGGTGGGCCTTACCCCAAGGCTTAGCACTAGGCCCATTTGACCCCCAAATGATAACTAGCTGTGGTTCGGAATGTTTTTTTTTTGTTTGCTTGTTTGGTTAAATAAATTCCTCTTAGATCAAATTTAGACTCGGACCACCGACTGCGTATAGCTCGGGACCCAAGAATCTGTTTGTTGAAGTTCTTCGAAGATCTCCTTACCGTGTCTTGCTGTTTCAATGAAAACAAATGTGTTCGCCTTGACCTCTCGTGCTTCTGACGGTGCCATTTCATCGGATTCTAGGAAGGAAAACAGGCTTCGCTGGCCGCGGACTTCTCCGTCACTCAGTTCAAGCACCTGGGCCGGCTGCTCATGGTGCACGGGCGGAACAGCTACAAGCGGTCGGCCGCCCTCAGCCAGTTCGTGATCCACAGGAGCCTGTGTATCAGCACCATGCAGGTGGGTGCGCGTGGCTGTCCGCACGGAGCCTGGGAGCGGCCTGTCTTAGGGCGCCGACCCGCCCAGGCCCCGTGGCAGCTGATGGACCTTGATTTGCTCCAGCTGCTTTGGGTGGTGCAGGCCATTCTTGGGATGTCGTGTACATGACCAGGGTCGTTAGAATCGGAAGTGAGTTATAACTGGTTTGCCAGAGGGAAAAAAGTGTCGAGTTAAATGCTGAGTGGGCACTGAATTTGTCACATGCAGAAAGAGGGGCCAGCGGAGAAGAACCACAGAAGACGACGACCTTGCTTTCCCGAGTGCTTCCTGCACGCTGGGCATCGGGATGTGTGCACAGTGCAGCGTCTCACTCAAGCCTCACCACAGCCTGTGCCCACTTCACAGATGGGGCACCCAGGCTCCGGGCGAGGAATTTGTGTAGTGTCCCTCGGGGTTCGGTCACTCAGGGGAACTCTTAAGGCCTGCTCGGTGCCCTCAATACAGAAGGGCTCTAGCACTTAACTGTGTACGAGGAAGAAGGCCAAAGGGAAGGAAAGAAAACGTTTTGGGTGTTGAAAAACTATCAACCAATTTTCCTCCATGGGCATATAAGCGAAAATACCCCCCGTTAAGTGGTGAGAATATTGCAATGATTTATCTCAGAACCCGGGTCGTTTTCTGACCAAGTCACTGAGAACAGCAGGTCCTCGAGTAACGTTGATTTGTTCAGCGTCATTTCACTATTAACCGTGGTGACATGGTGTAAGAACTCAGCTCTGAAATCAATTAGCCTATGGTAAAAACTGGTTTTATCATACATCGTTTTGCTTAAAGTCGCGGAACCTATCGACAGTGTTATTAAGTAGGGACTTACTGGGCCTGTGATATTGTGCAAGTCACTTTACCACTCTGGGCCTCAGTCTTTCCACCTGTAAAATGGGGATGGTAAAACCTGCCTTGGCTCCTGCACAGGGCTCCTGTGAAAAGTGGAGGATTGTATAAGGGATCAAGTGTTGAAGGCATCCTCCCCATTAGTAATAAAAACAAAACAGCATATCCCGGCTGGTGTGGCTTAGTGGATTGAGCATCGTCCCATGCACCAAGAGGTCACTGGTTAGAGTCCCAGTCAGGGCACGTGCTCAGGTTGACGGTTCGATCCCAGTAGGGGGCAAGCAGGAGGCAGCTGATTGATGTTTCTCTCTCATCGATGTTTCTATCTCCCCCTCTCCCTTCCTCTCTCTCTAAAAAAATATAAATTCAATAAAAACATTTTAAAAAGAGCCCTGGCCGGTTTGGCTCAGTGGTTAGAGCATCAACCCGCAGACCAGAGTCACGGGTTCGATTCTGGTCCAGGGCACGTACCTCGGTTGCGGTTTGTCCCCGGCCCAGGTCAGGTCTTACGGGAGGCAACCAGTCGATGTGGCTCTATCACATCGATGTCTCTCTCTGTCTCTCTCTCTCCCTCCCACTCTATCTGATAATAAGTGGAAAAAGATCCTCAAATGAGGAATAACAAAACAAAAAAAACATTAAAAAAAAACCCCAGGATAATGTATACAATAAGGTGACATTTAAATGTGTAGGAATGGTGTTTAATCATACAAGAAAGGCATAAGGCCTTCTGCCTTCCAGAGCAAGTCGGGTGGCGTTGCTCTAAGTTTACGAGAATTCACCCCCACCGGCCCCTCCACGCATGCCTTTTGGGGGTGACTGTATGTTTTTAATATCTACTGCATTTGTAAGTGTAGGAGCCTTAAAGTGATTTTCATCAACGTGCTCTAAACCCCAACAGCTGGTATGGTTCATCAGACCACATCTGCGCTTTAATTTACGTTCACTCATCGATTGAACTGGATAGCACTGTGCTTTTAATCACTGGGAGATTAATCAGCTCGTCTCCGGGCAGGCACACAAAGCCGGCCTGGAGAGCCGACTTCTGTAAGGCTCGTGTGTTACAATGAACATCACTTCAGGAAAAGAAAACTGCACCCTGAGAAACTGTTCTTTGTGCTAGAAAAATGCCCGTAACCCCTGTCCGCTGTGCTGAAAGTGGCCGGCCGCGGGCAGGTCCCCGTTAGAATTGCATCTTGAGCTGGTGTCTTTGATAGATAGAGACACAGAGTTTTGTTTTGTTTCTCCCCCAAATGCTCTTTTCACGATGAAGTCTTTTTTTAAAATTATGTTTTTATTGATTTTTTTTTAGAGAGAGAGAGAGAGAAAAACACTGATGTGAGAAACATCGATCGGCTGCCTCCTGCACGCCCCCTGCAGGGGATCAGGCCCACAACCTGGGCATGTGCCTGACCGGGAATCGAACCCGGACCTCTCTGTCCCTGGGATGATGCCCAATCCACTGAGTCACACTGGCCGGGCTCAAGATGAAGTCTTTCTGGTCAGCCCGCTGCTTTTGGAGAAGGAGGCTCTCCATGGTGATACGCAAAAACCAAACACCCACTTTTTGCCATTTGCCCAGCCCAGGTGAGAAGTTATTTGAAAAGTGACTTTCACCGTTCAGTTCCAAAATCACAGCCAGGGTGCCACCAGGGCTCCCCGTGACCCTGGCCTTAGGTGACACCTGTGTTCTGAGCTCCGTGCCAAGTGAACACCCACGACAGGTGCTGGGGGGGAGATGTCTCGGGCCAGACACGCTCTCTGATCACTAGGGCGTCTCAGCCTTTCTCTTCGTGCTTTGCTGTTAGACAGCTTCCAGGCAGCAGCTGCCTGGCCTCCCTTTGTGCCCTGCTGGTGGGAGTGGGCGTCAAGGCTGCTGCCCCGTGTTAGCCGTGCATGTCCAGAGCAGGACGTAACGGCACCAGGCCGGTTTGAGGCTCCCTAGCCTGTCACCACCATAGCTGACAGTTTCCAAATCAGGAAGCAGACGTTTCAGAAATCATTTGTAAATATCTTTATTGCTTCTGTCCAATTGCAATTTGTAAACGTTTCAAAGATATCGAAGCATGCAGTGGAAGAAGTAAAGCCTTCTCTTCCACCGCACCCTCCGGGTAACCGGTGAATGTCCCCCCGGTGGAGTATTTTTCCACGTCAGTTCACACACATATGGCAACTTGCTCATCGGTTATACCTCCAGAGAGGTGGCGCTTCTCAGCTGTGAGGAGTGTGGGCTTTGCAGACAGGCGGGCTAGCGCCCCGAAACGCCATTTACCTGCTCAGCGTCCCCTTCTGTACTATTCGGGTGGTTTTAGGACTCGCTCTCATGCGTGGTTCTGGAGATTCACTGAGCTCATGTACAAAGCGTTCCTGAGTCAGCTCATGGGACTTAATTACATATTCACAAAGGGGCTGAGCGTGGACTCTGGAGCTCAGCTCCTTGGGGATGACTCCTGGCTCTGCCACTTATGAGCTGTGTGATCTTGGGCGAGTCACTTAACCTTTCTGTGCCTTTTCTCATTGGTGACATGGGGAAGATGATCACAGTACCCATTTCATAAGGTTGTTGTAAGAATTAGATGAGCTCATATACTGAAAACACTTGTGCCAGCGTTGGTGTAAAATAGGTGCTTTGTAAGAGTTGGTGTTGTTTTTAGACACGCAAACGTAAGCTGTTTGGTGACATCCTTTCTCCTTGCAGGCCGTGTTTTCCTCCGTGTTTTACTTTGCCTCCGTTCCTCTGTACCAAGGGTTCCTCATCATCGGGTAAGGAAGCCCAGGCACGCTGTTCTTTTTATGAAACCACCCCGAAATGCCACACAGGAGAGAAGGAACCTCGTATAAAGACCCTTCAGTCCCCAGGTGGCCGGTCAAGCCAGGCCGGGAACGCGGTGTAGAAATGTTTGGGAGTGACCGAGTCTGAACCGCTGAGCCTGTGACGAGGCTGAGGAAAGTCCGACGGGCTCGTGGGCCGTAGCGTGTGGCTGTTTGGACCTGGTGAGGGGAAACGCCCACCCGAGCCCGAGGTTATTCGCTGCTGGGCAACCAAAGCCGGGTCAGAGGCTCGCGGGCTCAGCAATTTCACTGCGTCTTAGAACAAGGGAGAGGTGGGGTCTGGGAAGGACCCCGCCTGCGTGGCCGACCCCGGCGGGCCAGACTGCGCTCTGTCGGCGGGTGCACCTGAGCGTGGCCCCCGCGTGCCCCTGGCCCGTCAGGGCGTCACTCAGACATTTGCTGCCACCAGCTCACCCCCATTCCTGACCCGGAATTCCTGCCACTCCTTTTGACCTTTTCAGAGAAGGTGCTCAGTCTTGGAATGACCCAGGTAGGGGGAGTCTGAGTACCCCATCTCCCAGATAGAGACACACTCAGGGCACCCTCCTGGTTTGTAAGGGGCTCGGAAGGGCCGGCTGGCCCCAGGGGACAGACTGACCAAGTACACTTTCTGTTTTTTTATGTTTTGCCACTTCAGCGTGAGAGTAGGCCCTGGAATTCTAATGGGAAAAATGGGACTGTCCTCTGTCAGGTCCTGGAAGACTAAAAAGACAGGCCTGAGTGTAGCCACGGGCTTCCGCACTCCACGTGGCCTTCCGTGATCTGGTTCCCTGCTCCCTCTGGGTCTCAGCCCCGCCCACTCAGCTCCAGCCACTAGGCCGCCTCACTGTTCTTCAAACAGGACAGACACATCCCTGCCTCAGGGCCTTTGCACTCACTACGCCCTCTGCCTGGGGTGCGCTTCCCTCTGACATCGGCACGGCTGTCCCCTCACCTCTTGTGGGTGTTCACAAATGTCACGTCCCTTGGCTACCTCTGTAAAATCGCATCCCTACCCTGTGTCTCATCCCCTGTTCCCCATGAAACTTTCTTCCTAGTGCTACCTCCAGCGCAGAGTGGGTGATGAGTTGTTTACCGACCCACTGACCGGCACTCGGGGTGGACACGCTTGTCTGTCATTCATCTCGAATGTTCGGTGCTTAGATCCGGTCCTGGCCCATGGTAGCCGCTCAGAACGTGGTTGCGGGTGGATGATGGAATTGGTCCAGGGGCGGGGCCTTACCTGCGGTGATGTTCTCTCCAGGTACTCCACCATCTACACCATGTTCCCTGTGTTCTCCCTGGTCCTGGACAAAGACGTCAAGTCGGAAGTTGCCATGTTGTATCCTGAGCTCTACAAGGATCTCCTCAAGGTTCTCTGAGCTCCTTTCCGCCTTCCTTCCTCCTTCCTTCCTTCCTTCCTTCCTTCCTTCCTTCCTTCCTTCCTTCCTTCCTCCCTCCCTCCCTCCCTCCCGCCCTCCCTTCCTCCCTCCCTCCCTCCTTCCCTCCATCCCTCCTCCTGATCTCATGTAAAAGATCTGATCTGAACACACTTGAACTGGCCTCGGGAAGGACGGCATGGGAGTTTGTTTTGTTTCTGTTTGTTCCTTAAAAAAGTAACGTACGTACACGTAAAGAATATTGAACAGTACAATAATATATACACTGAAAACAAACCAGTGACTTTTAAAAAAGTCCCTACAGGTCCATTTTATACCTGCAACTTCTGCCCACTCCTAGAAATGTCGACGGACACGCCTAAAACACGCGTGTGTGTAATTTCATTGATGTCTCCTCGTGGGTTTTACTAAAGGGCAGACGGATTCCTGTCTGATGCCCATTCTCTTTGAAAACCGTAATTGGGCGAACGTGCTCAGGGACCTGTACGCTGCTCCCGTTGATGAAGACAGGCAGGCAGCCGGCCCCGTTCGGGCAGAGCGGGAGGAAGGCCGCGGGCACCCTGGATGCTCCAGCACCGTAACCGGCTCTGTCTTCCTCTCCTTTAGGGACGACCGCTGTCCTACAAGACATTCTTAATATGGGTTTTGATTAGCATCTATCAAGGTAAGGAAGGGGGGAACCCCCTCTTGTCCCGCGCTCTGGCCTTGACCACGGGCCGGCTTAGCTGTTCTGTTGTCTGTAGAACATCAGGAAGCGGGAACCCCGGAACAGCAGCGCGGAGCATGGCAGTGTGCCCGGGGAACCCCACTCAGCGTGGCCCAGGCCGCTAATGCCCAGTGCCAGCCCCCTGTGTGATAGGGCGCTGTGAGCCCCACGCGATGGAGTCGGGGGGAAAGTAGCTCACGCTCGTCAAAACCCGCCGAGGTGTCCGAGCCATTGCAACAGAAAGCTCTTGCGCTCTGGAATGTTCTGGTACTTCTTCTGGAGTCAAGTTGCAGTTTTGTGAAAAACATATTTATTTCGGTGGTCTCCAGAGAGGGTCCCTGGGACTATAGAGGTTTTGTAAGACAGCTCGTTGAAGTCCGGGAAGAAAATATCAAAGCCTCTGTTTGCTTTTTTTTTTTTCCCCCTCACTCTTTTTAGAATTTCTCTTTTTATGTATGTTTCTATAATGCACATAATACACAGTGGTCTGAATGTCTCTCCCATCGGCACATGTAATTTACAAATATGCATGGTAGCTCTGGCTGGTTGCTCAGTGGTTAGAGCATCGGCCCACAGACCGAAGGGTCACGGGTTGTTTCTAGTCAAGGGCATGTACCTGGGCTGCAGGTTCGATCCCCGGCCCCAGTCAGGGTTGTGGGGGAGGCAACCAATCGATGTGTCTCTTTCACATCGATGTTTCTCTCTCTCTTTCCCTCTCTCCCCCTCTCCTTCCTCCCTCACCTCCTCCCTTACTCTCTATCTAAAGGTCAATGGAAAAATATCTCGGGTGAGGATTAACAACAACAATAACAACAAAAAACACAAAAAGCAAATGTACATAGTATATTGGGGTTCATCTTTAATGCTTTCTTCTGATGGGGTGCACAAAGAGTGTGGAGACCATTGAATTTGTTGGCAGGAGGTTAATTGTCATTAAAAGGTGAAGGGGGTATTTTATGGAGTGTATCAGGCAGAATAAACGCATCCAGGTCATGGCAGTAAGCCATGGGGCAGCATCCCAGCCCCCACCTTCGGCGGTTATACCTGGCCGTCGTCGGGGAGTCCGGGCGGTTCCCACCTGGCCCTGCCTCTGTGCGTTCTTGTGCTGCTGGTACTTGTGATCAGTGCAAGACACATCCGCTCAGTCCCCGCCTCGCTAGGTAGAAACTTACCTGCACCCTCCCCCACCCTCCCCTCTCTCCCCAACAGTGGTGCATAAATCTTCGAGTATCCCTCTCAGCTGCCTCTCTTCTGTCGTGTAAAACGTCGCATAAAATGAGTGTACAGTTCAGTGGCACTCAGTATATTGACGTTGTTGTGAGACAGGTCTGTCTCCGGGACTCTGTCATCTGGCAAGACGGAAACTCTGTCCGTCCGACAAAAAACTCCTCTGTCCCCCTCCTGGCAGCCCCTGGTAACCGCCAGTCAGCTTTCTGCCTCCATGAATATGACTAGTTCCCATGCCTTGTCGGAGGGGAATCATACGTATGTGTCTTTTTGTGACTACCTACCTCTATTATTTTATTTACTTATTAAAATTTTTTTTTTGTTAATCCTCACCTGAGGATATTTTTTTCATTGATTTTTAGAGAGTGGAAGGGAGGAAAGGAAGGGGAGAGAGAGAGAAACATCGATATGAGAGAGACACATCGATTGGCTGCCTCTTGCATGCACCCCCAAATGGGGCCAGGGATCGAACCTGCAACCCAGGTATGTGCCCTTGACTGAGAATCGAACCTATGACGTCTAACCACTGAGCCACACTGGCCAGGGAAACCACTGTCATTTTATTTTTATTTATTTATGATTACTTGTTTTTTAGAGAGAGAAAGAAATATTGATGTGAGAGAAACATCAATCGGCTGCCTCCTGCACGCCCCCTACTGGGGATTGAACCAGGACCTCTCAGTCCATGGACAATGCTCAATCCACTGAGCCACACCGGCCGGGCCCACCTCTCTCGTTTAAAATAATATATTTACGTTTCTGTGTCGTGTTCCATCCACTTCAGATAGTTGCCCTCTTCCTCCCTCCCCCCCCAACATCCCCCATAATTATAGACGCTTCGTTCTCTATGGTCAGAATGGGACTGTGATGCCTCTAAAAGGTTCACAAAGCAGCACTCATTCAGCAAGTTGTGCCTGTCATGTCTCAGTGGGAAAAAGGAGGGGGTCACCCTGCACGAGCAGCGTGAGCCTGGGTGGGGCGTGGGGAGGGCTCTGTGTGCGTGTACGGGGTGCTGCTGCAGGTGCGGCCCTCCCACCGCCTGTCTCTCCTGCAGGGAGCACCATCATGTACGGGGTGCTGCTGCACGTACGGCCCTCCCACCGCCATCCCCCTGCAGGGAGCACTGTCGTGTACGGGGTGCTGCTGCGCGTACAGTCCTCCCACCGCCTGTCTCTCCTGCAGGGAGCACCATCATGTACGGGGCGCTGCTGCTCTTCGAGTCGGAGTTTGTGCACATCGTGGCCATCTCCTTCACGTCGCTGATCCTCACCGAGCTGCTCATGGTAGCCCTGACCATCCAGACCTGGCACTGGCTCATGACGGTGGCCGAGCTGCTCAGCCTGGCCTGCTACATCGCCTCGCTGGTGTTCCTGCACGAATTCATCGGTGAGACCCCGCCCCAAGCGCACACGCACGTTCAGAGCCTGCCCGGCAGGTCCCAGGGTCTCACCAGCTTGCGGAGGAAGGGAGCCCCCTAGCATGCTGGTCCTGGCTCCTGTCCAGCAGGCCTTGGCTCTCGACCACCCCACTGACTTACTGGGTCCCCTTGGGACCGAGGCAGCGGTGAGCCCGTGGGAGCTGGGGCTGCGGGCGTGCTCCATGTTGCGTCTCCCGTTAGAACGGCACTGCTCACGGGCTGAGGACAGGGTTCTCCAGGGAGCTGCCCCTGTGCCGGGCTCCGGGCAGCTATGGAGGTGCCCAGGGCCCAGGCCTCGCTCGAGGACGTAGCACTGTTCCCTTGAGAAACTGCCTAACCGGGAAAGTGTCTTTGGTCGCGCCTCTAGTGTTACCAGCAGACACTCTTTCAAAGGGTTTCAGTAAAGAGAAAGGAGCATCCTTGTGAAAAGTGAAAAGTCTTACAACAGTTCCACGCGTGTGCCCAGAAGTCTCTCAGAAAGGGTTTTGTGAGCACCTAGTGCTCAGTGGCTGGGGGGGAGGGGTCCCAGAGGCTTAGACGACAGGAGCTCTGTCCTCAGGACCCTGCGGTCGGTCGCCTCGGACGTGGCCCCGCCACAGGGCTGGGTGAGCAGCACACGGTGGGCCCGCGGGCTGGTGCCTAGTAGGCACCTCATCAGTGCCAGCCTGTGCTCTCCCCGCCCTGTGCTCAGGCCGTGGGCATGGTGTTTGCCTGCAGGGAGCGTGCCCGGCTTAGGGCAAAGCCCTGAGCTCACGCTCTTTCCGACCGGGGGGCTCAGCCCGCCTGTTGCCACGTGGCTCAGATCCGCCCCGTGCCCGTCTGTGACCGTCATCAGTCGAAGGCAAAAGTGTTTGGGAAGCAGAAACGTGTGTTTGAGGGTCCCTTTCTGCTCTCCGGCGGTCAGAGCCCAGGTCAGAAGCCCCTGAGAGAGGTGGCTGTCCTTCCCTAGTCGTTGGAAAGGGCACTGAGTGTCAGCAATGCAGAGGCAGGGCAGAGACACGGGAGAGCGAGGACGGCCAGGCTGACGGCCTTCCTGGCCGCGGCACTTCCGGCCCCCGAGAGACCCAGAGGGGAGGAGCCACAGACGGCGGGCAGTGTGTGTGACAGGCGATGGCCGTCTCTGGACGGCACGCGTCTTCTGGAACCTCCGCCCGCTCACCAGAGTCTTCCCGTTTGCTCACAGATGTGTACTTCATCGCCACGCTGTCCTTCCTGTGGAAAGTGTCCGTCATCACTCTGGTCAGCTGTCTCCCCCTCTACATCCTCAAGTACCTGCGGAGACGGTTCTCGCCCCCCAGCTACTCGAAGCTCACGTCGTAGGCTGCGTGCGCGGCGGGGGGCTCTGGTCTCTGCTTGCCCCTCGGACAGAGTTCAAGCCCCGTTGGTCTTCCCCGCCGCGGGGACTTTGCGGGAGATGCTGACACGTGCAGTCGGGACGCGAAGAGGCTCCGCCCGGAGTCCTGCCGCTGAATAAACAGGGAGGTTCCAAAGGTGCCCACGCCGGCCCGTGTGAACCCCGGTGACTCCTCCTGGGGTGACTGTCCTCATGGGGGGCTCAGCCAAGAGATTTATAGATGGGTCACTGTGCAAGCTTCCTTATGACTTGAATTTCGTTTTCCTGTGATAAAAGTTTCCGTCTAGTTGAAGGTTGTAGAGGATTTTTGGGTTCGTGCCCCTCCCCCAACAGTCCTAACGTGCGTGTGCTCTTTACGCCTTTCTTGCTCCTAAAACTGGTTTTAGGGAAGTGTAGGTTGGGGGGGAGACGGTGGCATTGGGAAGTTACCCGGACATAATCTCAGTGTGGAGATGCCAGGCACGGCCCCGAGGCAGCCCGCGCGTGGGAGCTGTCAGGCCGCCTGGGTTACGAGAGGACGCGAGGCGAGGGCGAGCGTGCCGCAGGTCCGAGTCATTCCAGGCTGATGCCACCTCCACGGCGCGGGAGTCCCGCCACCTGCCACCTCGTGAAAGAACCGCCAAGGTGTCATTCTACTTTGTTCAGACCTGGTAACAATGACAAAGCCTGCGCCTACCTGAGGACACCCTCAGACATTTCCGGCGTGTTGTTGATGGCAGGACACGTGCCACGGAACAGCCCCTGAACGTGTCGACAGGGTGATAAGAGCCTCAAGTAATTCTTGAGAGAACCACAGCAGAAAGGACAGGGCTGGGGCTCTTTGCTTCCACGGGGATCTGCGTTCTGGCAGGAGGAGTGACTGAGGACAGACGGACAGAGGCAGCGGCTTCTTACCGCGGTGCCAGGCATGGTGGCAGCGCGGGGGCCGAGCTCTGTTCCACGGGGGACCTCAGCAAGGCAGCCAGTGGTTGCGAGCCCCTCCCCCACCAGGATGCAGTCCATGTGTGCGTGTTTCTTATAAAGCTGGGGCTTCTCATTTCGGGGCAAGCAGGGGGTTTCCAAGCCCTGGACGTGGCAGGACAAGGCGTTGTCAGGTTCTCCCGTCGCTCCTCACGGCGGCCACATGTGCGTGTCATAAGGGTTCAGTTGGTTGATCTCCAAGAGCTGACTGTATTTGATGTGTTGGACGTGTGATTAATTCTTTATGGGAACATACCCTTCAGCCCGTCAGCATGACGCTTCCCGTGTGCGCTTCAGAGCCGTCAGCTCCTCCGGCCTGGTGGCTGACACCCACGTCCTGCAGGTACCCCTGAGCCTGGAGAGCTGGGGACACGAGGTGCCAACCGTTCCCTCCCTTTGCAGCACCCTTGACATGCTCATGTCTTTATGTTGCCCTCTGACATCTTTGTACAGTGACAGCGGATTGCAGGCGTTGGCGAATTGGCTGTTGCCATCCCTTCCATCTTGTCCTGAGGTCCTGCGGTTTTACAGTGTTTGCCCCTCCCTGTTCAGCCACCCCGGCCCTCGGCGAAGATGCACAGGGCGGGGCAAACGTAGGTTTACGGTGGTTCGTATGGAAAAGTCGTATCGTGATTAATAAATGATGCTACAGGAATAAACTCCGTGTGTTTCGTCCTCACAACTGTAAACCTACGCTTGGCCCACCCCGCGTGGTGGCGGGAGAATGGGTATTTCGGAGCAGGCTCTGTCCACAGCTCCCAGAGGTCGGCAGGCCTGACTTGTTCACTGCGCCTCTTGAAGCGGTTTCGAAGGTGAGGAGGAGAGCGCGGTGCTGGGGTGGCGGCACCAGTCTGTCGCCGGGAGTTAGACGGTCACACTGGACGTCCTAAGTAATGCCACTCTGAGTTTGCAAACCTGGTCCCTGGCCTTGTTCACAGACGGGTGACGGCTCCTGCAGGGCGGTCTTGGGGATTCCTCGGTAGGAAATTTTAGGTGTTTCCAGCAGACCCGGGGAATGAACATGGGTCTCTTTGGTCTTTTCCTTAATTCCCAGTTTTGATCAAGGTGCGTGAGGTGACCTTTAAGATACTGCTTGACATCTCGGAGGGGAAAAGCTTCTAAGAGGGGCTGAAGAGGCCATCCCTGGGAGGCGAAGGATGTTTGTCAGCCACACTGTGGTGGGGGCCGGCAAGGGCGAGAGGGACTGAAACCCAAGTGGAAACCGCCAGGTTGAAAGCTACCCTGTCAGTGGGCAGCCTGCTCACGCCCCCTGCTGGACTCCTTGGGTGCCTAGGAATGCACACACGTGCTTCTCAAACTCTGGGGACCCAAAGGGCGGGAGCCGGTCGGTTTCGAGTGCCCCGACCCTTACCTGCACACGCGAGACTGATCCCAGCAGAGAACCCGTGCACACGCGGGCACGCCCAGGGGTTATCTTAGCTGCAGGGGAGACCAGGAAACAGACAAAACGCCCAAGCTATTTTCCGGCAGACTCCCTCCCGAGTTTGTAGCCTTAACCATGAGGCTTCTGCTGACTGTTTTCTTGGCTCATCCGCCTGGAAAGCTCTCCCTTCACCTGGGAACTCAATGGGACCTCGGTCTCCAGGAGCCAGTTTAATCTGAGGCCAGAGGCCCACAGTCAGCTGTTTAAACACTTCACATAAAAGTTACAGCTCCCTCCGCCCTCCGACACCACTAGGTTTTTGTGTCCGAGTAAGCACTTCTTTATTCATGATTATTTTTATGATATTGTTCGGTGATTGGTTGTGTATGTGTGTGGGAGGTGGCGGCGGTGGAGAACGGTTTCTGTTCGGTCTTTTTCCTTCCTTCCTCCCTCCCTTTCTCTGAGAAAGACCAGCCAGGCTCCTCCATCTCGGTCACGTCTGACATCGGACAGCTTGGACTGGAACTTCGAGAGCGAGCTGCATGCGTGTGTGCTGCCCGTGAGGCCAGGTGCCCCTGGTGCACTGACGGGGGCTGCTTGGGGCAAAGGGCTTTGCTACAAAGCACCGAAGGGCGTCCCGGGAACATCTCGACATCGACGCAAATCACCTGCTTGCAGCCACCTGGAGCGGGGAGGCCAGGAGCTGGATTCCGCCCGCGCGTTAGCGTTGTACCCAGATCCCAGACCGGCTCCCCGGGAATGCGGGTCTCTGCCGGAGGAATCCTAACCACCACCATCTGCCCCTTTCCCCAGTGTCTCTGCCGAGTAGTGGTTCAGAAGAACCCACTTCGGAATGTGCTTCGAGTTTTATACGCGTTGGAAATGGACACACTAATGCCTGTTTCTCTTGCTCCAGACTTTTGTTTTTATGCCCTGTTCTGTGTTTACTGGGGTGGGGGTGGCAACGCCCTCACGCCTCTAGGGGGCAGCATTTTAAGCCTTTGCCAAAATTTCAGATGGGACCTGTGCATTCTTCCGGTCTGTGCTACTCAAGGCAAACACCGCTCAGCTATCTGTAATCTTCTTGGTGTGTGTTTGAAGTGCGTGCGTGTGTGTGTGAATGTATGATGTCATCTCATGTTTGAAGAGAGACTTGGTTTGGGTTAAAATCTCATCATGCCCAGCTTTGTATTTATTAAAAAAAAACACACACACACAACAGAAAAAAAAAACCCCAATACAACGCACTTTGTAAATACAACAGATCTTATGTCTCCCCCCTCCTATTAACTTAAAGCTTTTCTTGTCATTTGCATACACTTCTTAGTAAATATTCCCATGAATTATGTCCACTTCATCTTGGAAAAACATCCGCTAGGTTTGGGGATGGAACGGGGAAGCACCACGTTGCGTGAGCAGCGCTCCTGAGACCTTGGGTCCTTCTGAAGCAGCGGCCCCGTGAGACTGGCTGTCGGTCCCGGCGCGGCTGGAGGTGCGTCTGCTCATGACGCTGGACGGGGTCCCTGAACATGTGTCGGTGGGGGCAGGCGGGGGTGCAGCGTTTGCCGGGGGGGGGGGGGAATCGCGGCTGATTTATGGTTTTCCTGCGAGGGGGCTCAGGGTAAAGGCACCAGGATCGCACGAGCTCCTCGTTAGGAGATCTCTCTGAATGCAGCCCTCGCTGCCAGAGTGCGCCCGGGCAGCGCTCTGATCAGGGGGAGCCCCGTGCAATGTGCTTCAGCTCAGCAGGAACTCCCAGATGATTCAGATTCGCGATCCTGTGATGACACACATGTGATCCCGCGTGTTTCCGAGCGGTCCTGCTTTCATCGCCGGCCAGCGTGGCCCGCCGCTCTTGCCAATAAAGCTTGTGTACTTGATGCCTCTGGGGGTCGTTTTAATTTGCGTGGAAACCTGAATTCTGGTGTCAAAACGAGGGCTTTTTATCCTCGTGCTTCGAAGCTGTGCGGATCGCATGGTCCGTGAATGGTAAATAGCCTTTTCTCCATGAAAAACATTCCTTTGATTCTGGCCAAAAAGAAACCCACCCACAGTCCCACGTGTTGTGTATTATTCTGTGCTGTCGTGTATTCCGGACGTGTCGGAATTTCAAGGAGGGATCGACATACATGGAAAAAAGGGACAAGGGCATTCCACAAGATTCATATTTTATTTACATGCACGGTTCTTGATTGCTTTGGCTACTTTATATATTTTTTTAAACCAAGTGCTATAAGATTAGGAACCTCCGTCTTGGGCAAATGAGGTTTCCAAGATGTTGTGTAGGAAGCAGAGGGACATGTTTGGTCAGTTTCACTGAATGATTCTCAACCAGGGGTGATTTTTGTCCCCCAGGGGACATGCAGCCATATGGGAAGTCATTTTTGGTTGTCACAATTGGGGGGTGGGGGTTGCTCTGCGTCTAGCCAGGAGAATCCAGGGGTGCTGCAGGACACCCTACGATGCACAAAGACCCCCACAACGAAGACTTATTCTACCCTAAATGTCAACAGTGCCGAGGCCGTGAAACCCCAGTGGAATCTGCATGTCAGTTTGACCATTGTTAGGCGTCTTTCCTCATTTCCAAGGGACCCAGCCCTAGACACTCCGGTGTCTCAGCCACCGCACCACCCGGCCAGATGTTTTAATTAGTAGCTATTTGTGGTGTGGCCGCTGATTTCCTCTCTGGCCCTCGACTGAAAGGCCATCCCCAGTTTATCAGTTAGAGGAAGAACTGTAAGTGAACTGTCTCCAGCACAGCAGCTCCCTGGGACAAACTGGGGGCATGCTCTCAGCTCCTGTGAGGAAATTCATTAACGTGTGGGCACTCCTGTGGTCCCCCTGGGGGAGCCTGGGCACTGAAAAATCCTCCCTCCCTCCCTCCCTCCCTCCCTCCCTTCCTTCCTTCCTTCCTTCCATTTCGGAGAGAGAGGGAGGGAGGGAGAGAGAGGAAGAGAGAAACATCGATTTGCTATTTCACTTATGCATGCGTTCAGTGGTTGACTCTTGTATGTGCTCTGACCTGGGATTGAACCCGCAACCTTGGTCTATCGGGACAATGCTCTAACCAACTGAGCTACCTGGCCAGGGCCTGGAAGACACTTCTGTTTCCTGTTTTCAACAACCAGGCAGGCCCCAAATACCCAAGACGCCGCTTCCATAGCTTCACAATCCATTTCATGGGCAATAGCTCAGTTAGAAACAGACATTTCGTCTTAGGTTGTTGACCGGACTATTTTGCTGAACTTAAAACAAAAACTGGGGGTTGGAGTGTGAGAGAGGAATATTTATTTGATCTTGGATATTTGTATGTAAAATTTTGGGGTTTTATTTTTCTCGGTTAGTTTACATTCAATATTGTATTCATTTCAGGTGTACAGCATAGCAGATAGAAAATCATATACTTTATAAAGTATAACCCCCAGTATTTCAGGACCCCCCTAGCACCATACATAATTCTTACAATATTATTGACTGTATTTCCTATGCTGTTCCTTACATCCCCATGACTGTTTTGTAACTACTAATTTGTACTTCTCAATCCCATAACCTTTTTCACTCAGTTCCCCAACACCCTTCCCTCTGGTAACCATCCATCAGTCTGTTCTCTGTATCTGTGAGTCTGTTTCTATTTTATTTGTTCCTTTATATTGTTCTTTAGATTCCATATATAAGTGAAATCATATGGTGTTTGTCTTTTTTACACCTGATTTATTTCACGTAGTGTAATACCCTTTAGGTCCATCCATGCTGTTGCAAATGTTAAGATTTTGTTGTTTTTCATGGCCAAGTAATATTCCATTGTATATACGTACCGCTACTTTTTTATCCACTCCTCTACTGATGAGCACTTGGGTTGCTTTTATATCTTGGCTATTGTCAATAATGCTGCAGTGAACATAGGAGTGCATATATTTTTTTGAATTAGTGTTTTGGGTTCCTTCAGATATATCCCCAGAAGTGTAATTGCTATGTCATAGGCTTTTTCGTTTTTAATTTTTGAGGAACCACCATGCATTTTTTCATAGTGGCTGCACCAGTCTTCATTCCCACCAACAATGCATGAGGGTCCCCTATTTTCCTCATCCTCGCCAACACTTGTTGTTTGCTGATTTATTGATGACAGCCATTCTGACGGGTGAGGTGATATCTCACTGTGGTTTTAATATGCATTTCTCTGATGATTAGTGACTGACCATCTTTTCATATGTCTGTATGTCTTCTTTGGAGAAGTGTCTGTTCGGGTCCCTTGCTCATTTTT